ACCTGACAGTTTCATATCTTGCCTCCAACATTGTCCTCAGTCGATGCCTTCAGCAGAACACAAGCACAAGACAAGCATGCATGACACATGCTTGGCCAGTTTTCCAGCCCCTACCCCTCTGCTCCTCTTGCAGCCTCCTAAACCAGATAGAATTTTTATGTGCTTACAGACCCTTTATGGATTTCTCTTCCAGAACTTGTCTGGACATCCATCAAACATTCAGCAACCTTGTCCACATCTCGTGCAGAGGAGTCCCACAACTCAACCATTCCTTGTAGAAACATCCACCTCCTTTAATGTGCTTTGACCCTGCAGCTTGCCAGTCTCCTTTGGTGCCTTATTGGCTGCATGGGAAGAAGACTGTGAACAGCTACATCCCTCCTCAGATACCTTCTGAAGAGTTGTGGCTAGTGGGGCCTCAGAGAGAGGCTGCCCTGCAACTTTGATCTTCCTTGTTGCCCTTCTCTGAACTTTTTCCATTTCCACCCCCTTCTCTCTGAGCCAGGAAAACGGTGGGACAAGCACACAGTGTGGAAATGGGACGTGAACCGTGCAGACACCCAGTGATGGCCTCTGCTGTGCTTTCTGCTCTGCTCTGAGCAGTTCATAACAGTCAGCTGGCTTTTTGCTCCTACAGAAGAGTTTTTGTACCTCCCCAGTGTTGATGCACCTCCCGTGCTGGCAGAGAGCTTCCCCGAGCTCCGTGCTGCCCGCAGACACCTCTGTTCACTGGGGTTTGAACCTGGAATAATTCCCCAGTCACCTTCCCCTTTCACTTATTTCAGCAGCCTCTGTTACCCAGCCTTCTTCCTGGCTGAGGAGTCCCACTCTGGTTTGTGGCTTCTTTTGAGAAACATTTCTCTGCCTCAGTTGTTTCCTCTTTCTCTACAGTTTCTCTAGTTTTACGTTATCATTTTTCTGATGAACAGACCAGAATTTCTGACAGTTCACCAGCGTGGGCAGTGCTCAGGATACAGCTGAATTGTGTGCCAGTGCTGTGGGGCATTTGCTGCTTAATTCCATTTTCTATTCCTCTCCTAATGATTTCTAGCCTCCCCTTTGCTTGTCTGCCTCCTCCTGAACGGGAAGATGGGATTTTTCATAGGGACATTCATTGTAATGCTAAGACCTTTCCTGAGTGGCTGTAGCTAGTCTGGAGCCCCGAAGTGTGTGTGAGGTCGAGGAAGATCAGCCCTACACACACGATTTCATACTGACCCATCACTGCTCCTTAGAACGCCCAGCCACTGCCAGCAGATCCATCACCAGCTCTCTGCACTCAGCTTTCATCTTTGCTTTCATCCTTTAATAGAGGATCCAGCCTAGGTGAGGTGATTGTGTCCCAGCCATCCCACCTGGACTAGACAGTGGGGCTGGAGAACCTTCCTTCTTCCCCAGCACAGGCTACAGCCTCCCCGTACCTGGAGCAGAGGTGCTTCCCAGCAGGTGTCTGTAAACACAAACTCTCCGTATGAGGAGTTCACTTATACCCTCAAGGCTCCCAAACCAATTGGCACTGTCACCCAGCAGCCGTTTGCAGGGTGCTGTGGGGCCTGTCAGCCCCTGCAGATACCAGTGCTTTGGAGCATCCTCCTGCCCCCCGCCCATTGCTGGATGAAGAGGTCAGTGCCAGCCAGCTGGGAAAAGCAGAGCTTAACCTTATTATATTTTTGGTCATCTTAGAATCACAGAATCATTTTGTCTGGAAAAGACCTTTAAGATCAAGTCCAACCATTAACCTAACTCTACCAAATCAACTGCTAAACCACGTCCCTCAGCACCACATCTACATGACTTTCAAATAACCCCAGGGATGAGGACTCCACCCCTTCCCTGGGCAGCCGGTTCCAGT